GAACCATATATGCTTTATATCACCTATTCATGGCTGTCACGTGAGGTTATTTGACAGAGTATACATTTGTCTAAAGCTCTTTATTTAGAGGCAGTATTCCTTAGATAAAAGTAGTTTCATGAGTATAAGGATCATATTTAAAAGTGGTCAAGTAAAGCAATACCAGAATAACAAAGCAATAAAAAAGAAAGGTGAATACGTAGGATTCCATAATGCAGAACAGCGACTTTCCATTTATGCCTTTAGAACAGATCCCTCCTAATGTGGGCAAGCATAAGGATGAAGCAATAGATAAATAAAGGAAAAAAGCAGACTGAGAATAAGAGGAAATTTAGGAGTGAAGACTAGAGATTTGGGATGATTCCAATAGCGTATTAATCAACACTGGTTCGAAATCATTTTGGCCGGAAAATTATCGCCAGGTATAAGGTTGCGGATAGCCAACTGATCTCATAAACCAATGGGAGATTTCTTAGTCCAAATATAAGAAGTGAGGTCAGGAAAAACAAATATTTCCATTCAAAATCATGAATAAAGCCTCTAACATAATGTAATTATGCACTATAAATTGAAGCAATGGGTATCCCAGATCATTTGGTTCTCTCTCAACTATAGCCCTACAGGTATTTGCGAAATTATAATCTACTTAAAAATTATGAATTCTTATGCATGAATCTGAAATTCCAGAAGCCAAGCCAGCCTTTAGAATGGAATTGAGTTCTCTCCAAAATTAAAGGATGAATATAAGAAGACACCTGGCACGTAATTTAGCTACCTGAGCATCTCCAGCAGGAAGGCAGCAATTATAGGCACCCACATATGCCGAGAGTTGTATAGGAGCATCATAAGCTCGATCAATGGATGTCACGCGCTTATCCGTGTGCACTGTTTTCCATTCAGCCATCAAAAGTAACCCCCTAAATTAGCACGTTAAAGTCACTGTAGATTAAAACCAACCCGAAGCTAATAACACTGTCGTATCGGCCCCTGTAACCCAAAAATGAGTGTGTGCAATCTTGTTCCGAGCTATGTGTGTGAGATACATGATCAAGTAGAAACTCTACACTTTTGCAGTATCCTAAGAGTGATTCAGACAGACCTTCAGGAAAGCTATGATGAACAAGCCTGTGTTGAATAAGTGCATGCGCCTGATTACCAAGGGACTTATTTTCTAACCAAAAAGAATAAAAAGAGAACAAACTTTGGATATAAGTGATAAAGCCAGCTTCTCCTAACTCTTTTTTCTTTTTCTCTTGCCACCTTAAAAGAATGGCAGTTTCTTCGGGTGGCCGAGTTTTATTGAGGATAGTAGATACTGTAGGAAATTTTGAATGTGATACGAAATTAGGTGCAGATTGAGACGATGTAAATTCGCCAAAAACAGTCGGATATTGACTTGCATAATTTCGAAAAGAACCAAAAACACGGCTAAATATGAAGAAGGAATAGCGTGTTTCCTAAAA